GAGGAGAGGAGAGGAGAGGAGAGGAGAGGAGAGGAGAGGAGAGGAGAGGAGCAGGAGAGGAGCAGGAGAGGAGCAGGAGAGGAGCAGGAGCAGGAGCAGGATGGGGTGTGCTCTCCCTGCCTGGAGGTGATGGAGCCAGGCATCCTCCAGCAGACATGGCCCCAAACAGGAGCTGGGGAGGAGCACAGGGCACTGGCAAAGGACAGGGTGAACAGCTCTGGTGGGTATCATGGGGAGGGTTTTGCWGTCAGTGAGTGACTGGTATTTGATTTTCCGACTCTGGAACGTTTGCTTTGTTGGCTTGTTCCCTTGGTTACGTGGCATATATTAAGTTCTTCATTTGGCTTCCTCATACAATTAACTGGCATTCCATCGCATGGATTTTGGAAACATAATCAGAGCTAAAACTTTGTGGTCAGGCCTGGCTGACCCCAGCACGCCTGGCATCAAGCAAGCACCAACACCGCCAGTTTTCTGGGAGCAGTGCAAAACACTGCTCAGCACTGGCAGCCCGGAGATTTGGGGAGCAGGGATAGCCCAGCCTGGCATGCCTGGCAGCACTGGGGTGTCTGACGGGGTCGGTGTGTTCATGCTGGTGCGATTTGGGGAGCAGGGATAGCCCRGCCTGGCRTGCCTGGCAGCACYGGGGTGTCTGACRGGGTCGGTGTGTTCATGCCGGTGCACCCCGGGTGCCGCTGGCAGCGGCCGCTCCTCGATGCGCTGGCTCTCACCACGCTCACAGATTGTCACAGTTTTCTGCAGCTCCCCGTTCCAGAGGGATGTGTACGCTGTTCCTCTGCGGCCGTGGGTGTGCATACGGCTGGCTGTGTGGCAACTGTGTGGAATGCCAAAGCAGAGAGGACAATGTGCGTAGTAGCAAAGGGTGCCAGGAATGCTGGAAAGGCGGGGAGAGGCGACGCCGCGCCCCACGCACCGGGACAGGGAGGAGAGGGGCCCGAGGCTGTGGGGAGGGGGCTCTGAGCCGGCTGCACTTAGGATTAGTCAGTACGGGAGGATGAGAGGAGGGAAAGGTGACCCGTGCCAGAGGAGGAACCGTGGCAATGAAGCAGTGCCCCCTGCCCACAGGAGCACAGCCCAGGGCGGCACTGTGGCAGAAGGTGGCACTGACCACGTGTCCTTGTCCCTCTGAGGCTGACAGGGAGCCTGCTGTGGGTTAATCCCACTGCTACCGGTGCTTTTCTGCCGCAAGATCCTCCTGTAAGAGCTGGCCAAAACCTTTCCCAATGTGCTGGGTGGATCTGAGCATCCTGCTATTGGAGTATGTGGATGTCCCCACCCTGAACTGCCTGCACTGTACCCTGAAATCTCCCTGWGGCTGAGAGGCAGCAGGCACAGAGCACATCCAAGGAGGGGGAACACTCTCAGTCTGTGTTCCTTGGAGCCTCCTTCCCCTCTCTTTGCTCTGAACTCTCCCCAGCCTCCTGCTTGAAGCMCAGTACCCACAACAGGGTGGGATTGCTTTGGCCTCCCAGGGCAGGGGTGAGGGTGTGTGTTACAGATGGCACAGCCCTGTCCCAGATCCTTCCTGCAGAACTGCTCCTCTGCCTGAACCCCTGATTTTTACCACGTAGAAAAATTCCTGTTTCCTCTTCCCACCTACCAATAGAGCATCACCATTGCCTCGCTGGGTTTTCTCCTGTGGTGTCAGATGATGGGTTTAGCATAAGCAGTGATTGCTGTCCCCTCCATGGAATGACCCAGCACTGAGGGGGTGTGGAGGATGCAGGGCTGTGCCTCTGCAGGGGCAGGCAGCAAGGAGCTGGGAAAGCAGGGCACAGCCAGAGTGATGGTGCTGCATGAGGAAAACTGTCCAAAGAGAGACATGTCAGCTGCAGTCTGGAACACAGAGCATGGACACCAAGGGGCTCCAGATGATCTGTGAGCCATCAGTTAAGGGTGGATGTAAAGTCCAGATGAGGAGCCCTGTCCAGAGGCCTCAGGCAGAGGCAGGACTGCACAGTGGGAGAGGTGTTTGCCTGCTGAGTCCGGGGTTCCACTGCCTCTCCTTGTCACACAGAACTACCCCTGTCCCATCCCTGGTTTCCCAGAGTGACTCAAATGGTGAGGTTGGGTTCAGTCCCCTCCAAAAAAAAAAAATGTCAGTCAACAGTGTGCCTTGGTAGCCAAAAAGGCCAGCCTTGTCCTGGGGTGCATCAGGCACAGAATCACCTGTTGGGCAAGGAAGGGGATTGTCCTGCTCTGCTCTCGCTGGGRCAGCCCCACCTCRAGTCCTGGGGCCACCATATAAAGATGTGAARCTATGAGAGAGTGTCCAAAGGAGGCTACAAAGGTAGTGAAGGGGCTAGAGGAGACCATATGAGGAAAGGGTGAGGTCACTTGGCTTATTCAGCCTGGAGGARACTKGGGACAGACCTCACCACAGTCTGCAGCTTCCTCATGAGAGGAATCAGAGGAGCAGACAGATCTCCCTTCTGTGGTGACAGGACCTGCAGGAAGAACATAGAGCWGTGTCAGGGGAGCTCTAGGCTGGACAGTAGGAAAAGGTTTTTCACACAGAGGGWGGTTGGGTACTGMMCAGGCTCCCCAGGGAACAGTCATGGCCCCAAGGCTGCCAGAACTCAAGGAGCATTTGGACAAYGCTCYCRGGCACATGGTGGGATTGTTGGGGGCATTGTTGGGGCCAGGAGTGCAACCTGATGATCCTTTGGGTTCCCTTCCATCTCAGTTTTCTGCAAAAGCTGTAGCTGTTAAGTCTTGGATGTTTCAGTAGCCAGTTGCATTGCAAAYCTTGATAGATTTTAGACCTCGGCAGCTGTTTCTGGCCTGATGACCTGGAGTGAAACTGCTGCCTTGTTTTCCTGTGCTTTGTTGATTATGAGGAAAATGGATTTTTTTTTCTTTTCTTTTTTTGACTCTACATTTACCATTTCACAGCCTGCAATTGCATCCCTCTTGTTTCTATACATTATGTTTCCAAGAGCTCTGCTTTGCTGCTCTGGGTATGGGAGACCTTCGAGCGTGGGGATCAGTGTGGTGTACAGYACTGAGACAGGCTACACCATTTTTGTTTTCACCTCTTACTGTGCTCCACTCTCTCACACCTTGTTTCCTTTGCACCCAACTAATTCTGTAGAAGAAATTATTCTGAATTTTCTGTTAATACAGTCATGCTACGAAAAGATTTAAAAAATATAAGCTGCTGAGGGTGTTTATTATGTTATTATGTACAGACTTTTTTTTCCCTTTAAATGGACCGACCCCCTCTCTTCCTTTCCTCAAGAAGTGAATTCCTGAGGTTAATTATATGCTGCGTAACAAAGGTGTTATTTCTTTTTGTGCCTTCGGTCGTGTTCCTTTTCATGGCTGGAGAAATGAGCTGGGAGAATAAAGGCTTTGCACAGAAGTGCATTAAAGTCAGTGGGCTTTGGCTCATGCCCAGAAAGAAAAGCAGCACATGGTTTAATTCCAGGGCAGGCTCGAGCGGTTGCGTTTCAGGTTTTTTCGGCGGTGATGGTGCAGCTTTTAGCTTGGATTCTTCATGTTCAGCTATCGGAGGGGAAAAACAAATTCCCCCAGGACCAGCACAGAGTCGTAACACGCTGTCTCCCTCTCTCCAGATGAATGGCAGTGATGGGATGTTCAAGTATGAGGAGATCGTCTTGGAAAGGGTAAGTACTCTTTACTCACCCGCCCACAGGCTCTTCCCACTCGCCCACCCCCCGGCACAGCCGGTCCCCCACGCATCCCATCCCTGCACAGCTGACGGGAGAGGCTGGGCTCTGCTCCCCGCTCTCTCCGGAGGCTTTYATGGGTGTCACACCTGCTTTGCCAGCCCGGCTCCCACCAGGGTGGGCTTCCTGCTCCCCTCTCCCCCTGCGGATCCCTCCAGAAGGGAGGGAGGAGGGATTCTCCTTTTCCTCCCTCTTTCACACCTTCACCCCCTCAAACCCATCAGCACAGAGAGTGAGGGGAGGCTCTTTGTCATTGCCTGTGTCAGCAGACAGGTGTGGGGAGCTCTGCTTGATGGGTGCACCCCCCAACTGGGCACAGGGGCTGAAGCCACCCTGCCAYCAGGCTCCTGGCACTCTCAGGTACRCAGCCTTGGGATGCTAAGCTGCAAGAACAGGTTATTTAGTAAAACAAACCACAACGGGGGAAGTTCCTGCTCAAGCCTTTTTGTGGGCAACACAGAGGTGATGGCWTGCACCACACTGGCCATGGCTAAAATTAACCCCCCCCACCGTGTATGGGGTTTATCCAGGGCCAAGCCAGCACTATACCGGGCAAGAAGGGCTTTCTTGTTGCCCAGGAAGCAGCAGGGGAGGAGGCATGGAGAGGGAACAGGAAAAGCTGGCCCAGGGTTTATCCTAGAGACGGGCACAGCCCTGCTGGCTGGGAATGGCTGTGGTGGAGGCTGCCCGTGGCTCTCCACAGCACACCTTGCCTCCCCCTCGCTGCCGTGCCGGGCGGCTCAGCCGCGCCGCGTGGCCGGCATTGCAGGGGAAGACGCATCGCTCATTATTCTGTTCCTCTCTGCCTTTAGTCATCTCCCTCCTTCCCTTGGCTCTGCATCACGGAGGTGGGTGGACGGAAGGTTATCTGGGGCTGCCGCCTCACCCACCGCTTCCCCGGCGTGCCTGACGAAACCAGCCCAGGGGATCCTTCCTTTTTGGGCTAAGTGCTTCTTGCTCCGGGCCCAAGTCACAGGCAAAGCCTTGTTTTCAGGGATTCTTYRGAGCATCCTCTGTYCTCAGCCCATAATGGGAGCAGGAGMAGAGCTGGCAGGACCACACAGAGAGGCAGCACTCATTGATGCCCCCATTTCAGAGCCCTGGGCAGCAATTCCTCCTCCAAGAGCAAGAGACCACAAGGGAATCTCAGTGCTTAGCAGCCTGGGGCAGCATGGACCATGCCCAGATCCTTCCCCTTCACTGGCCCCAGTGAGATCCAACAATTCTGTCTTAATGCAGGAGAAGCACCCTGGTGCCTGTAGGTGCCTGGGGTGTTTGGCTTCCCTGCAGAATTGACCTCAGTGTACCCCAAAATTGCTGGTCTATCACTGTTATTAATCTTTGTTTTCATTGTAGACAAGGGTCAAAGCAGCAGCCTTCTGGGGACAATAATAGCACAAATACAATCTACAGAGGGACATGGCTTTGTGTTTACCCACCATACATGCGTCCACAGCAGGAGCTGTCCTGGCATCAACCCTGATGTCAGCTAAGAAATCCCTTGAACTCCTTTTTGAGGTTTATGAGAATAAAAATTCTCACCTCCCAGATCATTTCCAGGTTTTGTAGCTAACAAAGGACCTTCCATAGAGAGGCACAATGAATGGCTGGAGATCATTTTGCAATCTCACCTGCCTTGCTGCAGCCAGGCTGGATCTCTGTGACTGTAAGGAGCTCTTTTGAGCTGGGCACAGGGTGATTAGAATCCAGCCTGGAGGAAAGAGCAGCCTCAGAGCCATTCCCGTTGAATGCCTCCGTGTCACATGCCARCCAAATCCCAGCTGGCCAGGGAGCATCCGGGAGCGTTGAATAGTGAGAGGCATTGGTGGCTCCTGGTGCTGTGTCATGAGCGTCATAAAGTYAGCTCTGCATCGCTGCAGGAGCTGATGATGGGGCAAATTGCTGTGGAGAAGTGCAAATCCCAGCCTGCTGTTAGTGCTGAATATCCCAGGGAGCCCGAGTTCCAGTGTGGCCCTGTTGGCTGCAGGTCCCTGGAAGAGCAGAGCACCCCATCATCTCCCCCTGAGCACTGGGGCCGTGGGCACCCAGGAGAGCTTGGCCCCAGCCCACTTGTGTACGAGAGAGGCAGGCACAATAGTATGTGACTAAGTGTCAGCTCTTCCGCCTGAGGAAACAAGGCATGGAGCCATCTGATTTTCAAGGCAGAGCAAAAAAGGCAGGAATTGTCCACTTGCATCAAGTGTGGATCTGGAAGCAGCGCCTGTGAGTGTGTCACTAATGAGGATCCTGCAAGTGGGAGAGGCAGCACAGGGCCACAGCCACTCAGTCCTGAGATGCTGCGGGAATGGTCTGGAGATGAGCGCTGGTCCCTGCCTTCCCACCGGGGAATTCAGCAGGGGAAGCTCAAGTGATGCTCCAAGCTGKGAGGAAAAGGAGGCAGAACTGGAGACCCCATTCCATCCTGATGCAAATTTTGGCATCGGCATTGGTGGYGCCCAGCTTGACTCTGAGCCAGGGCTACACGCCAGGGTGCAGAGGGGCAGGAGTGGGGTGCTGGTGACTGGCACCATCCCCGCTGCTCTGTGCAGGCTGTGGCATCGGTGTGTCCTCCTGGGCAGCAGCCAGCGAGGGGAGGTTTTCTCCGCCAAGGACCACCTCCTCTTCCCCCAGCTCCTGCCTGCCTCGGTCTCTCCGTGGAGACGCGGTGGTGAGGGAGGTCCTCGGCGGCTCCCACTCTCCCACTCCATCTGTTCCACACTCCACGCTRCTGCGCCGAGCACTCGGCTGAGGAACGCCGGCCTCTCCTCCGGCCAGCATCCTTCTGCCCCGAGCCAGGCACCCCGGGGTGACAGATGCAGTGAGGGCTCCTGCGCCCCAGGCAGCCCCTCGGCTGGGGGGAGCGTTTAAGGAGGGCCAGCAGCAGCAGGTGCCCACCGGGGAAAGACGCAGTGTTTGATTTCCCACAGGGTAACTCCGGCCTCGGCTTCAGCATAGCGGGAGGCATCGACAACCCCCATGTTCCAGATGACCCGGGTATCTTCATCACCAAGATCATCCCCGGGGGAGCAGCCGCCATGGATGGCCGTCTGGGGTGAGTACAGGGCTGGGGGAGCAGCCAGGGTGTCAGCCAGGATCTCTGCATGGACCCTCTAGGTCTGCCTGCCTTTCTTGCCATGGACCCTGGTCCTCTAATGTTTCTGCCCCACAGCTAGATCCCCTCAGGGCAGGGATACCCACCATCCCTGGCCACCAGCCTCCTGCCTGTAGCCACTCCTTCTCCCCTTCCTGTGCCAGGCTCCTGCTCCCATCCATCCCGCTGCAGCCCAGGGCAGGGATCCAGCCTTTATTCTCCTCTCCCATCTCCATTCAGGTGGCTCTATGGGGACCAGCTCTGCTCCCTCCCACTCTCACCCCAGCAGGGCAGGATCTGGCCACCTTGAGCAGCTCTGTGTGGCTGGAGGAGGGTGGCAGAGGTGCCATGGGGTGGGTGGCATGGGCTGGCAGGGATGCTCAGGGCCATGGTGTGCCCGCAGGGTGAATGACTGCGTGCTGCGGGTGAATGACGTGGACGTGTCTGAGGTTGTGCACAGCAAAGCTGTGGAGGCCCTGAAGGAAGCAGGCCCTGTGGTGCGGCTCGTGGTGCGCCGCCGGCAGCCCCCGCCGGAGACCATCATGGAGGTTAACCTGATGAAGGGCCCCAAAGGTGAGCCCCTCACTCTGCTCGCTTGGCTGGGGTGCCCACAGTGTGGGGTGACCCCTTGGTGGGAGATGTCACGAGCTGCAGGGCAGCTTCACGGGGATGTGGGATGCAAGGTGGCACCGGCACAGTGCAGGGTGCTGCAGGGTGGCCCAGCAGAGTGGAACGCTATGGGGCACAGGGTGTGGGACAGACACACAGTGCAGTGCGTGGTGGCCAGGCTGGCCCCGGGTGGCAGCAGGATGGTGGCCCATTGCCTGCTGGGCTTGGGCAGGGTGGGAAGCCCAGTGAGGCACAGGGGCTGGTGCCAGCCTGGGACCCTGTCTGTCTGTCTGACCCTCACCTGCACTCTCCCTCTCCCTCAGGCCTGGGGTTCAGCATTGCAGGGGGCATCGGGAACCAGCACATCCCTGGGGACAACAGCATCTACATCACCAAGATCATCGAGGGAGGTGCTGCCCAAAAGGACGGGCGCCTGCAGATCGGGGACCGGCTGCTTGCGGTAAGCCCTGCGGTCACAGCCAGCTGCGAGGTGGAGCCAAACAGGTTCCACTGCGATGCTGAACCCCAACACCCCTCCTGTGAGCAGCCTCACCCCACTTCCCTGCTGGGATGGTGCTGTGGGAGGGCAGGCACAGTAATGGCTGCGGGCAGGAGAGTCAAACCCAAGGCGATGGGGCCCTGTCTCTGGAGCTACTGCGGCACCTTCCCTATGGAAAGCCACTCCTGCAGGGCTGCACTGGTCCCTGTCCCCCTGCTCAGYCATCTCACCCAGCCCCTTCCCTCCGGCAGGTGAACAACACCAACCTGCAGGACGTGCGGCACGAGGAGGCAGTGGCGGCCCTGAAGAACACCTCTGACATGGTGTACCTGAAAGTGGCCAAGCCTGGCAACATCCACCTCAACGACATGTACGCGCCCCCCGACTACGCCAGCAGTACGTACGGCGCTGGCCGCTGGGCACRCGGGGCTGGGGCACTCGGCCTGGTGGGGTGGGGAGCAGGGCTGGGCTGGTCTCTGTGTCCTCATGATGACCTTCTCCTCCCCTGCAGCCTTCTCAGCCTTGGCTGACAACCACATAAGCCATAACTCCAGTCTGGGCTACCTGGGCAGCGTTGAGAGCAAGCCTCCCTACCCCATCCCYACCCAGGTGACTCCTGCCCGGTACTCGCCTATCCCTCGGCACATGATCGGAGACGATGACTTCACCAGGTGAGTGCCAGGCACCAACATCCCTAATCCCTGCTCCTTCTCATTCCCTCACTGTCCCTCTGTGGTGCAGAGCCTCAAAAGGCCTTTTGCAGGTGCATGGTGCAATGCTCAAAGTGCCCATCATGAGCTCTGTCCTCACCCTCCCTGATGCCAGCCCTGCTGTGTCAGTCCCTGGCTTGCTCTATCTGCTTCCTTCCCATTTTCTCTCCTGCTTTCACAAGCTTTACACTGCTGCATTTCATTTTTGTTCTTTTGCTTGTTTTACAATACCTGGAATACAAGGTGTTCCCTGCCCTTACGATGCCATCCAGCAGTGCCACAGGCTCCCAGGATGTCCCCAGCTGGAGCTGTCCTGGGGGTGAAGGGCCAGGGGGAGCACAGCCTTGCAGATATGTGGGGYTCCTCCCACACTCCCAGAGCCCAGCATCCCAAACCACGGGCACTCAGGTGCCATTTCAGTGACTGCCAGCCCCTGGCCTGACAGTCTCCTGCCCAACCCTGGCACAGCCCCCCTTTGCCCCAGCAGAATCATTTATGCTGCATGAACAGGTTTGTTTCCTGAACCCAGGAAATAAAGAGGAGCMCTGCTCCAAAGCCTCAGGCTGAGGATAGGAGAGTGAGACCTGGMAGGTCCTGTTCTACTTGTTGATTCCTACAGCTCTCTCTCTTCTTGTCACAGCCTGGGGGCCAATGTTGAGCCTGCTCTGGAATGTGGTATCCCCAGGGCCAGGACTGTAGGGCTTAGGCAGTATTCTGAGGACCAACACTTGAGTCAGGCTTAGGGCTGGCTCTGCTGTTTGGAGCAAGGTTGCAAGCTGGGTTTGGGGGTGTGTTTACAGTGGATGATGCAGTGGCTTGGTCTGGGATTCTCCCATTGTGTAGGTCAGTGGTGGATGCTGGAGTGGGAGACCCTGACTTGTCASGTCTGCCATCCTCCTGGAGAGTGTCTGCACTTATCTTTGTCGTGGGGATTTCTCACTTCTCAGTGCTTGGCCACAGTTGGGAGCCTCTGCACGCCATGACCTGTGCAGCACTGCCTTCCACCCACAGCCCAGATCTCCCACCAACAAAGCCAGTTCTAGAGCCTGTCTATGGCACCTTCACCAGGTCTAGCAACTTCTGTGCTGTGATGGCACTGAGGGATGATGCCACAGGCAGGAGCAGTCTGTCTGCCATTACAGTGCACCTCAGAAGGGACTGAGTCCCAGTGCTTGGAGAACACACCAGAAACCCTGGTCCCACCGGGATGTCCCTTCTCAGAAGTGCCAGCATTCCCATTTGTGGACTTGAGAGCAGAAAGAGCAATCCAGCCTAGGCTGGACACAGTGGCAGTGGCACGGTGATGGCTCACCAGTGGCTTGGCAGTGGCAATGGCACAGCGATGGCTCGGCAGTGGCCCTGGTGCAGCACGTGTGGTGGCCACTAGAGGATGGTGCTGCCTTGTGGAGGGCCCTGCTGCAAACAGGCTGGCACCTCTGGGCCACTGTGCCCAGACACAGCCCCTGCCACCCAGCAGATCCGCAGCCTGTGGTGGGCTCAGCACGTCCCTCATGCTGAAAGCCTCCCGTGCATTGCTGATCACCCAGGGCAGCTTCATCGCTGCAGGTCTGCTGCCACCAAGACTGTGCACTGGGACCAGTGTGGTCCAAACATGACTTACTGGTGTGGGGAAAGGCAGGAGCTGCCCTGAAAAAGCAGCTGTCTCCCATGAGACTCCTGCCAGCCATTCCCTAGGAAAAGCAGAAGTCCAGCATCCAGCGTCTCCCCTCCCATGGGCACAAGTGCTGCCTAGATGTGGCTCCAGTGACCCTCATGTCCTGCAGCACCTAGGGCTGGGAACCAAAGAATCTGTTTTCCAGTGAGCTCCACCACTGCAACCCAAACCCAGCAGAGTCCATAGGATCCCCTCAGCCACTCTGTGGTGAGGTCCCAGTGTTAATAGTGTGATGTTCAGCCTGGGACCTGCCTGGAGGATCCCTGTCCTGCCTCTCAGGAGGAGGGTGGAAGCCTCATGTTGTGGCTGAGAACTGTGATGTACCTGTCTGGTGCTTCATTTCCTCTCTTCATTCCTTGTGGCATCTCTCTCCCTTCCACCAAACTGCTCCTTGTGGGTGCTGGGGATGCTTCCCCCAACACTGASTTGGGGCGGCTCTTCCTGCGCAGTGCTTGGGCAGCAGCAAAACCCAAGGGACAGAGCAAGTTCATCTCCCTGTTGGAGGCAGGGTTTGCAGACCCAGAAACCTGACCTAGTTCTTCCCCTGGGAGGATTCTAGCCCTMGGCACAGCTTTGCTGCAGAGGGACTGATGGCTGCAGTCCTCCCTGCCCCCTCTACTGCCCCTAAGCCAAGCACTGGTGACATCTTGAGGACTTTGGGTTGAGCATYTCTTGATTGAGCATTTCCATGGTTTTCCAGATCTCCTCCTGGCCCTGGTGCATTCCAGCCCCATACCCCAGTGCCCCAGGGTCCTCTTAGCACAAGTCTGACAGTATTTTAGGGTCTACCATGGCTGCCCTCACTCACTGCCATGCCTGGGCTCCAGCATCTCTCCTAACACATCCCAGAGATCTCCCTCTGATACCTGTCAGGTTTATCAAGCTGCTGAGCTCAACGTCCTTGGTCCCTGTGGTACCCAAGGAAATGCTCAGGATCCAGCCACAGTGCTCCCCAGTATCATGTTGGCTGACAATAATCACCAGCCTGTGCTAATTGTCTGACATCATTTATTCCTTCTTATTTCAATCTGGGGCTTGAGCTGGGAGCTGCCTTTGTTCCCAGCACATTGGGTTTTTCTCCCAGATGAAAATTGACACAGGAGTTTTGCAGTGCCAGGCAGTCTTCCTGCTTTTGCCTGCCTATTGTTAGAGCAGTGAAAGAATTAAGCCATCATTAAAAAATTTAGGACTTCTGTTGAGCTGTGCAGGGTCTGTGGCATGGGAGGGCAGGGTGGGGTGCATGGTGTTGTAGGCATACTCGCCACGCTGTGGAGGGGCTCGATCGGACTCTCCTGGCCCATAGCATCTGATGCCACCATGCAGTTCAGTGTTCCTGTGTGTGATTTCACGGTGGATGCTCTGTCTCTGTCCGTGCTGTGTCTCATGTCACACTGCCTGCACCTCTTCTGGGTTTATCAGTCTCCAAGTGCTGAGGGCTGAGTCACACCAGGCTGCACTCGGGTGACTCCAGCTCCACCAATGTGCCACAAAGCCTGGGCACAGAAAAACCTGTCACCAGCTTTGCTGCTTCTCACTCTGATGTCTCCCTGTCCCTTATGTGTCCTTCCAGGGAGCCCCGGAAAATCATTCTGCACAAAGGCTCCACGGGCCTGGGCTTCAACATTGTTGGAGGGGAAGATGGYGAGGGGATCTTTGTGTCCTTCATCCTGGCTGGAGGCCCTGCTGACCTCAGTGGGGAGCTGCGGAGGGGAGACCGTATCCTTTCGGTGAGTGGGTGGGACACCCACTGCCCCGTCATCACTCCCATAGCCCTGGCTGGTCACCCACAGGACACCTGTCCCCTGCCACTCTAAGAGCATTTCTATGGGATGCATCCCGAGTGCCGGTGTGGTGACACAGCCCCGGGCAGCCCTAATGCCTGGGTCAGCCGGGGGCAGGTACCGGGGGTGCCGGTACTGGGAGTGCCGGTACCAGACGTGGTGTGGGGGCACAGTGGCAGTGATGAGGCTCTGAGAGTGTGGGTAGCGTGGGTACCGGTACAGAGGCGGGGCAGCGGGGCCAAGGCGCAGGGCAGACCCCCTCGATTGTGCCCGCGTGGGTGCGGTCCAGCGGAGCCGCTCTGTCCCCGCAGGTGAACGGCGTGAACCTTCGCAACGCCACCCACGAGCAGGCGGCGGCGGCGCTGAAGCGGGCGGGGCAGACGGTGACCATCATCGCGCAGTACCGGCCCGAAGGTACCGCCACGGGTGACCGTGACCGCGATCGGGACCGGGACCGGCTCGGAGGCGGGCGGGGCATGCAGATGAGGGTG